TTTTAGACCACTGAGCCATCTCACCAGCCCCGATATGTTTCTGTTTTAATGTTTAAATTTTTGATCCATTTTGAGATTTTTTTTTTTAAGGCTTTTACTGTGCTAAGTTCTGTCCTCAGCCACACTCAGACCTTGAATTTGGAATTACAATTGCCTTCTCATTTTACAGAGAAGGAAACTGAGACCCTGGAGAGTTAAAGTTTCCCAAGTTCAAACCCTTAGTAAATGACAGTCATAGCTCCAGCCCAGTCCTGGCTGCAAGCGCTACTTTCTGTTACATATGTTGTTCCTTAATCTGCTGTTTAATTTAACATTTTTTTTTTTTAATGAGCAGAATATATTTATTGAGAGAAAGAAAGCTCCTGTCCAAGAGAGGGACAGGAGGGGGTCCTGAGTGGGTAGTTCCCGGGAAGCTGTCTCTTCCAGGGACTTTTATAGTGTAAAACCATGTGAGGCTAAGGTAGAGAGAATGGGAACTTGCTTAGGTGGGCAGGAGGTGGGACAAAACTATAGTCAACCAATGGGATTACATATGGGACACAGTCTTTTCTTGTTGGGGGTTGGAATGCGGGATAGGGTCTCTTTCTGTTGGGGGTTTAATTTAACAATTCTTATCATATTGTTGCACCCTGGTATTTTGCATCCTTGAAATGACCATATTTTACAAGCGCTGCTGTTAAGTTTTCAGCCAGTCTCTTGATGGATATTAACTGTTTACAATCCTGACTATTAATAAATATTGTGCTGAGACTATCCTCTTATAGATTAGGCTACTTTTTTTTTTTTTTTTGGCAGAACCAGGGATTGAACTCAGGCCCTTATGCTTGCCAGGGAAGCGCTTATTCCACGGAGCCATCTCCCTGGCCCCATAGGCTACTTTTAGGGAGTAAAAGTATATACCTTCCTCATGATGAATTTTTTTTTTTTTTTGCGGAACCAGGGATTGAACTCAGGTCCTTGCACTTGCCAGGGAAGCACTTATTCCACTGAGCCATCTCCCCAGCCCCTCTCATGATGAATTTTGAGAACTTCTACTCTAGTCTATAGCTGAGGCTTCTTCTTGTCTGCTTTCCCCATCACTGGGGTTGAATATTCAGTCTTTAAACATTGCAAACCTGCTAAGAATTTTATTTTTCTCTTAAAAATAGCATTTACTTAATTATTGATAAAGTTGAATATACATTATTATTATTATTATTATTATTATTATTATTATTATTATTATTTTGCAGAACCAGGGATTGAACTCAGGTCCTTGTGCTTGCTGGGCAAACACTTATTCTACTGAGCTATCTCCCTGGCTCCTTATTTATTAATTTTTTGAGACAGGGTTTCACTATGTAGTTCAGGCTGGTCTTGAGCTCACTTTGTAGCCCAGGCTGGTCTCGAACTTGCAGTGATCCTCCTGCCTCAGCCTCTTGAGTCCTGGGATTATAGGCATGTGCCACCATGCCTGCCTTTGAGTATGCTTTTATGTTTAGTGGTCATATGTTATAAATTTCTTGTGTCCTTTGCTTATTTTTTCAGTTGAGTTTTGCCTTACTGGTTGTAGGATTTTTTTTTTTTTTTTTTTTTGCAGAGCCAGGGATTGAACTCAGGTCCATGAACTTAGCAGGCAAACGCTTATTCAACTGAGCTATCTCCCAGGCCCCTGGTTGTAGGATTTTTTTTTTTTTTCAAC